GATTTGCGAGCTGTTGCGATTGTTTCGACGCTGAAACGTGCGAGCCTGGCATTTGGCGTGTAAGGCGGAGTGAAGTGTGCGCTTAAATGTCGAAATATCTTCAGGGGGATGGAAATGACGGCTATTTTTCGTCAAAATCGACGAAATCATCGTGATTTGCGAGCTGTTGCGATCGTTTCGACGCTGAAACGTGCGTGCCTGGCATTTGGCGTGTAAGGCGGAGTGAAGAGTGCGCTTAAACGTCGAAATATCTCCAACGGGAAGGAGATGACAGTTATTTTTCGTCAAAATCGACGAAACCTTCGGCGATTTGTGAGCTGTTATGCTTCGCGATTTGCGAGCTATTTTGCTTGTTTCGACGCTTAAACGGTATTGCATTGCATTTGCAGTGTAAAATGGAGTTCAACGAGCGCTTAAACGTCGAATTATCGCCAGCGGGAAGGAAATGACAGTTAGGTTTCTTCAAAATCGACGAAATCTTCGCGACTTGCGATCTATTTTGCTTGTTCCGGCGCTTAAACGGTCCGTGTATTACATTTGCAGTGTAAAATACAGTTTAAAAAGCGCTTAACTGTCGACATATCTCCACCGGGAAGGAAATTACAGTCAGTTTTCGTCAAAATGGAAGAAATCTTCGCGATTTGCGCGCTATTTTGCTTGTTTCGACGCTTAAACGGTGGTGCATTACATTTGCAATGTAAAATGGAGTTCAACGAGCGCTTAAATGTCGAAATATCGCCAACGGGATGGAAATGACGGCTGTTTTTCGTCAAAAACGACAAAATCACCGCGATTTGCGACTTTTTTCTTGTTTCGACGCTGAAACGGGAGTCCATTACATTCAGCGTGTAGGACGGAGTGAGAAGAGCGCTTAAACGTCGAAATATCTGCAGCGGGATGGGAATGACGGCTATTTTTCGTCAAAATCGACGGAATCATCGCGATTTGCGAGCTGTTGGGATTGTTTCGTCGCTGAAACTGGGCGTGCCTTGCATTTGGCGTGTAAGACGGAGTGAAAAGAGCGCTTAAGCGTCGAAATATCTCCTGCGAGAAGGAATTGGCGACTATTTTTCTTCAAAATCGACGGAATCATCGCGATTTGCGAGCTGTTGCGATTGTTTCGACGCTGAAACGTGCGAGCCTGGCATTTGGCGTGTAAGGCGGAGTGAAGTGTGCGCTTAAATGTCGAAATATCTTCAGGGGGATGGAAATGACGGCTATTTTTCGTCAAAATCGACGAAATCATCGTGATTTGCGAGCTGTTGCGATTGTTTCGACGCTGAAACGTGCGAGCCTGGCATTTGGCGTGTAAGGCGGAGTGAAGTGTGCACTTAAATGTCGAAATATCTTCAGCGGGATGGAAATGACGGCTATTTTTCGTCAAAATCGACGAAATCATCGTGATTTGCGAGCTGTTGCGATTGTTTCGACGCTGAAACGTGCGTGCCTGGCATTTGGCGTGTAAGGCGGAGTGAAAAGAGCGCTTAAACGTCGAAATATCTCCAGCAAAATATCTCCAGGAATTGATGACTATTTTTCGTAAAAAGCGACGAAATCATCGCGATTTTCGAAACGGGCGTCCATTACATTGTCACGTCCCGCGCTCCGCACGCGCTGTAACAAGAACAAGAAAACCACTCTATACAAAACGCGCGAGTAAGGATTTGAATGCACAAACGAACACACGGCACAACGAAACTAAAGGAAGGATTATCAAAACGACTGCGACTGATAGATCCAACCAATAAACAAAATACATATACACACAACTCTAAATATACCTACCAATAACCGACTTGCAATTTGAAAACCTGTGGTCCAATATAATATAAATCCAACCAGTATAAAATAAAATAAATAGAACCAGCTAATGGATTGTACGAGTCACGAACCAAGCAAATAAACCAGGAAAATAAGAATAACTACAAAAAGGGGAAATAATTGAAACGTCAGGAATACATGTATATATAAATATATTTTAATCAATCAACTTGGAGCGTTACATATAAGTATAAACATATATGCCAAACATGTAATACCTTAGTAAATATTAGAGACAGTACTTCCAATACTACGCAACAAATACAATATTATCAATTTATGAAATATAAGTATATATGAAGTGAAAAACTAATAGTTTAACGAATACATAAAACATACAATATTGTATTATTAAAGAAATGAAGGTTACATTGTCAGAAATATATATATATATATATATATATATATATATATATATATATATGTGCGCATTCTACATTATTAAATCAAATAGTAATCTAAGATACATACTCAAAACTAGCCTACATTTCGGTAAAGTGTTATAAAATAAGAACTACATTACGAAACATGCATGTCTCTATATAAATATATGTCGGGTTTACATTAGAATTAGGGGTAGAGGCGTGAAACGAATCTTTGTTTGGGTTACACGTTGTCGTTATGCAATAGAGAAGATATTGGCTAGTGCAAATACGTAGGCAATAGAGAAGACATTGGGTAGTGCAAATACGATTATTATAGAACCGGACAAGTAACCGTGGTAGTAGAGATCGCGAGCGAGAATGCCTTTCCCATCCCGATGATGCCACATAAAAAACTAATATGGGGTGTGTCTAAGAATACGAGATCATTGGATTCGTCGAGAAAAGCCTTCGAGATCATCGGATTCGTCGATAAAAGCCTTCGTTCAGAAAGTAAGGGAAATTGGCGTTGCTGCTAATTGGTCAATCTCCATATCGGTGGTTAGACAAAGATGCTAGCCGCCCTCGAGGGAAAGTTGCTAGTGAGAGACGCCGCTCATTGAAAATGAATCTCCCTTATTTTCCCGTAGTTGGGACAAAGACTGTTTGTCTATTAGAAGGACTTTCGCTAGCTAAGTCTTAAGATTTATAACGGGCCCTCGGGCTAGCCGAACGTGTACTGCGGAGACGCATCGACATCTGGCAATCATCTTACTCGAAGAATAGAGTCTGCGTGTGGCGAGCTACGGGACAGAGACCGTTGGAATGTTTACTGTCGAGTGTTACAACTATTTCCTTTTTAAGGAGAGCTATAGAATTACTCC